GAATAGGGACAGATGGCGAGCATTGATCTCCGGCCCTATCCCCCACTCGGGGGCAAGGAACTAAGCAAAAAAAAGGAATTCTATAGTGCATTTTGCAAAAAATTCAAACTTCTAATCGATAGATTTTCTTCATTTTTTCGCTAAACGTAGAAAATCGGCAGAGAAAATGATTCATCAAAAGAAAAATAGGGGTCACCGAACATCCAGTCAAAGCTATAGCAATGGCCATCTGCCCTATCATTGTTCATTAATCGGGCGAAAGCCGACCGCATAGGTTTACCCTCGTATTTCCAGTCAAAGCTCAGTCACGTGCAATGGGCAATACCGCAGATACGTAATAAAGGCTCAACCTTCTTTCCATGCATGATGTCGAAATCGAAAAGGAAAAAAGATATGTCGGATATCAATGAGTTATCAATGAACAGAAAATGTGGACCGAGTGTTACCACAGACGACAGAAGAACATTTACGAAAGTTTTAGGTGCTGATGAAGACAAGGTGCCTCGTGAACAAACTCTAGGAAACGACAACAAAGATGCCATGTTGGACAGCAATTTAAGTGGCTTTCATCAGAGTGAAGATAAACTTACTTAATAGACTAATTTCGACATATTAAAATTCAGCCTAACACAATAGACCTCAGCTCGAGGCTATGGGAAATAAACTCCACCAACTCTGTGGTTATTCCCCAGAGCCTCGCACTGAGGTCTATTGTTTTAGGCTGAATTTTAATATGTCGAAATTGGTCAATTGTCATTTTTGTGTGACCGCTATCATGATTATTACATTTACTATGTTTTTGCTCAAACAGAGTTCATTATAAGCGGTTATTTTTTCTAATAGTGCCATTAGTTTTGTCGCTTTTGTGTGCATATTAAAGTTCGCGTGTTGTGTGCCTGCAGAAGAATTCAGGTCTCTTCATGAAATGTTTGTTAATTGTAATATTAACACGTACAATAGTCAAGATGATATTTTGTACTTTGGTGAAAATTCTGGAAATCAATGTGTTGCTACGAGTTTGAGTGCTTTGATTTATAATAAGATAAATGGAATACATAGCTGTAATGACCTGGTACAAATTATGGAGATGATGGATAATAAAAAAATAATAATAATCTTTTCATTTATTTTAACAATAGAAGGTATTGGTGTCAATATCTATCATGCTGATACTGGGAGTTATAAGACATTTAATTCTCATGCAAGAGACAAGTATGGTAGAAGCCATCCCTCAGGTACATGTGTACTATTAGAAGTACCATCCATTCAGAGCTTAGTACAGTGTTTCCCGACTATACATTCACTCGGTGACGAAGTCGGAGGAGTGCAGATTAGTACATATGAAACAACCCCAGTGAACAGTGTGAGAGGAGAACACAACTGCTCTTGTAAACAATGTTGTGTTCATGCTGTAGGGCTTTATATAATGTGTTACTCAGTGGGAAAGCCTTAAGTATAATAATTATACAATAATTATAAATTACCAAACGTGACAGAAAACGTAAGTGACGTCACAACCAAATCAACTTTAGTAGGATTACAGTAGCTTTCACTTTCAACTATCGGTCGGTTTCATGATTTCTTTGAGACATGCATCTATTAGAATGTACATATTACATTACATGGCGTGTAAATTTGCGTGCACGGTAAAGACGCGCAGAAACAATTAGCGGGAACGCCCTCAAGGGGGGATCATCTAAATGTTACTGTCTTTAGCCGAAAATCCTCTGAATCAGAGTTGAAGTCCTATTGTTCACTAAGTGATCAATTTCATCGGCAATACTAAAAGAAGATTCGCTTGACAATACTTTACATTCGCAAAAAACATTTACTACAAAATTACTTACAATAGTATGATTGAAATGATAAAAATTTATTACCAAATATTAAAATTAAGTAATCATATTGAGTTGAATTTCTATACGAACATATGGCACTAACTGGCGTTCTAAAAAATATCTTGCTTGCATACATGTAAAGTTATGTAATTCATAGCACTAATATATCCCCCAATACCTTTCATATCTTCGCTTTTATCTAAGTCAAAAAGAACTCATTTCGACAACAATTATAGAAAAGAAACACTCTTTGGGCGCCTCTGATTCACATAAAACTCAGTACGTTTCATCATACAATGAGTAGACAGTTTGAGCATGGAAAAATAAAGGTTATTCAGTTGGGAGACAAATGCTGTCATCGGGAAACTTTCGTTGAAACAAGAGACTCTAGTTTCAGACTGCGAGTCTTTTTTACTTTCTGTTTTTAAATTGAATTGCAACAGGTGCAATTCTTACAATACTAATGCTACGTACAGTACTAACATTACTTACAAATTTATGAGTTTACAGCGCTTTGCATTACTTACTATACTATAAAATCCAAATATTACAGAGCTGGGAACCCGTTTCTCGACGGTCCCGAAAAGTTTTCGCACCCGTAAAGCTGTTGCAAAATATCAAACCTTAGGATTACAAAGCTGTTCTATGCACATGTCCTTAACATGAACAGGGGTTCCCTNAAAGGTTAAACCAGAGCACAAAAGCCCTTGTTCTTTGTTAAAACCGTAAGAGACCGACAATATTAAAAAGGATGTTTAAAATCTCCCTCTCAGTGATCCTGGCTGCCACTGCTAGTTTTCCGTAAGACCGTTTTTGGTTACTGCATGCATGGAACAGGGTTCATAAGACTCGAAAAGCAGAGTACCAGCTCAGGTTCTCCCAAAATGTTTGGTCTCTGGTTTCACCATTTATTCCAAAATGAAATTGCATCGACATTCCTGAACAACGAAAAGCACTAAGAGCAGAGTGTCGAAAAACTGATTAAAACACATGACAACAACACCGGCCATTCAAACCAGCCCTCTAAAAATCTTATTTCCAATGCACTCACTCACTCTGCATTTCATAGATTGAACAAGAAGTGAAATTTACCTTCAGTTGCGATCAAAATAGCAGTCTGGCTTGTAACGCCCAGCAAGTTTTTTCCAATACAAGTGTATTCTCCTACGTCATCCAGGGTCACGTCACGCACTTCTAATCTTCCACCCGGACTTGTAAAGGGAGTGCTACTCTGTCTTAGCCACGTGACAGTCGGCTTGGGATTTCCGCCGACTAAACACTGAAACACAGCATTTTGTTTTAGTGTTATCGTTTGCTTCATTGGTGAGATAACCACCGTGGGAGGTGAAAAGGATTCTCCGGGTTCTGCCTTTGCACCAGGTGTCCCCCTGGGACCCGGGACTCCTATCCGTCCTTTTTCCCCTTTTGAACCCATTGGCCCCATTATTCCCTGTTTTCCCTTTGGACCAGATGTTCCCATAATTCCCTGTTTCCCCTTTGTACCTTTTGGACCCATGATGCCCTGTTTTCCCTTAGGACCCGGTGTCCCCTTGATTCCTTGCTCCCCCTTTGTACCTTTTGGTCCTATTATTCCTTGTTTTCCCTTTGGACCTGATGTTCCCATAATTCCCTGCTTCCCCTTTGGACCTGGTGGCCCCATAATTCCTTGTTCCCCCTTTCGACTTGGTGGCCCCGTAATTCCCCGTTCCCCCTTTGGACCCGGTGGTCCAATATTTCCTTGCTTCCCCTTTGGACCAGGTGACCCCAACATTCCCTGTCTCCCCTTTGGACCCGGTGGCCCCATAATTCCTTGCTTTCCATGCGGGCCAGGTTCTCCTCCGTCACCACGTGACCCTTTCCTTCCCGTGGCTCCACGCGATCCTCTTTTACCACGTGATCCCTTAGGACCCTGCATTCCAGGCGGTCCTTGCACGCAGATTTGTCGTTTAGGTGAACAGAATGATCGTGACGTCAGAGAGTTTAATGTCTTGTTTATTTCATTTCTGACTGACTCCATAGTAAGCTCGTGTGGTTTCGTGCTAGACCGGGGGGTTCTTCCAATATGACCTTATAACAGAGTAGAAGGAAAAATATCACTGATTGAGAAAAATTGATAATAAACACTTACCGACAACTGATCTGGCGTGTTTTATGTCTCCTGACCTTTGCAATATGCTGATTCATTCGGCTTTGGCTTTATACCAAAATCAATTAGATCGATCTCCCAATGTCTCTTTCACTTAAATCCCCTGCATGACAATTCAAATTTTTAATCACATTTCAAGAAGTATGATTTTGGATCCCTTTTCATTGAGCGATGGGAAAAAATTGCTTCAAAGTCTCTAGTGAGTGATACTTATTGAAATGTGATCCAGCCGTTTGATCGGCTGACCTTATTTCCACTTATGTCTGGCTTCCTAGCCGGACTGAATGAATAAACTAGAAATGCAACGAATTACCAAATAAAATTACCACGGAGAAGATTATGAAACAAATTTCACATGTTCGTTCACTGCTCAAATATACGATAGCTAGTCTCATAGTACCATCATTCAGTCTAACCATTCAAATTCTTAGGAGTGATCAAGATGAAACTTCTCCTTAAAATATTAATACATTCTGGAGCACTCTGGTAATGAGAATATCGAGATAAATCAGATCGACGAAATGTCTTGTTGCGTATCCACCCAGAGAAATTTTCAGTTCTAGGAATTAAAAAGTCACAAACGAAATAAATGAGTTACTTTGAAACTTATTGTCAACATTTCTTTGTTTATAGAGGCAGAACGGGAACTTGAATCACAACAATAACTTCCTAGTGCGTCTTGCAAAGGTGAACCGTGATGGTAGAACAGCTCGATATAAAACACCGATTACCTTCTGTCTCATCTTTACTCTGTTTTATGATCCTGTGATCAAATTCTTCAACAGATTCGACTCTCTCAGGACGTTTGAAGCTTGCTGCATCGGTGAACACTTTGATCAGGTTCTGATTCTGCCGCGCGTCCGCCACAAGATCTTCAACATCGTGAACTCGCTGGTTTATGATCTCAACACGCACCAAGGCAGCGGCACAGATCAATAAAGATACTAACGACACTGGACAAACAAGCTTAGATGAACAGCTGTGGAAATCACGAGTATATGAGTGTTCTTGTTTCTCGGCCATGACAAAACACTGGCGTCGCATGATAATGCAGCGCTCCTTGTGGTGCGATGTAAAGATACTCGCCAAGACGTGTATGAAATGTGACTCTCTTGTGTTTACAGCATCGTGGTCTAAATTAGCTCATAGTATTAGTAGACGACTGAAGCATTCACAACGCTTAGAAGGTCAAAAGTCATTTAAACAAAAAAGAAAGAAACGTCTCCTGTTCGAGCATATGAGAATTCAGCAGATGGCGAAGTCTACAATTTTCTTCAAGGTTTTTGGCTACATTTGGTAGCCTAAAATACATGTGATACATGTTTCAATTCAGTTTAATATGGAAGGTATTCAAACTTAAAACAAACAAACAAACAAACAAAAAAGAAACAAAAGATGCCCCTAGAAAAGGAAGTCAAGGGTTCCCCATGTGAAGACTCTCTTAAAAATGTACAATAAACTGAAATAAAAATTACAACTAAGATCCTTAGTTACATGTACAACTAAACATTTAAGTGTACTTTGAGCTTAGATCTAAACCGCTGAAGGTTATCAGCTTCCACTGCACCTCTTGGTAATTCATTCCATAACTTAACAATCCTAATGGAGAC